CATTTGAGTAGGACAAGGCACAATATAAGATTAGGAAAGGTGTGTCTCAAAGTGGTGTCCTATCATCAAACTAATTCAATCTGTATGGTGAGCAAATGATCTGAGAAACTGGACAACATGAAGAATGTGGCATCGAGTTTGGAGAAAGATGCATCAGTCACTGTAATACGTGACTGATAGAACCTTGCTGTTGCAGGACAAGAGGACACGGAGCAATTATTGATTACTAGACCCTATAACCGCCAGCATAGAGGACACCACAACAAAGATCCTTACAACCGCACTAAGTAACCTCCTGACAAAAGGAGAAAAGTGTGATGTTGTCAAGGATTGTGTTTTACTTAGATCAGCAATCCATACGCATGGAAGCAGCAGTCAAAAAAGTAAGCAAAGTATTGCACCGAGTTAATCTTCTGTAAAAGACCTTTAAGGTGCAAAAAACCTCTCCAAAGACATTATTAAATTTCAGATTAAGCTCCACCTGACCCAAGCCATGGAGTCTTCAAAAGGCTTACTTTTGACAATGAAGAAGGAAGACAGGTATGATGCCTGTGAATTGTAGTGTTGGTAAAAAAAAAAAAAAATTAATTATACATGGACTGCCAGGAAAACAAATCAATCCTGAAAGACTTGCCACCAGAATGCTCCTTGGAAAACAGGATTACAAGACTTTAGTCTCACGTATTTTGGACATGTTATCAGGAAAAGTCAGTCCCTGGGGAAGGACATCCTGCTCAGTAGATGATTGTCAAAAAAAATTGAAAACTAGAAAGAAGGTGGATTAACATGGTAGCTGCAACAATGGGCTCAAACCTAGCAAGGACTGTGGGGATGGCGCGGGACCAAGCAGCCTTAGGGTGTTTATAGAGGGTGCTTATGAGTCAGAACTGAATCAAAGACTCCTGACAACAACAGCAACATAATCTGAACAGATTTCAATAAGGAGGAAAGGCCTGGCAATCTACTTTCGACTATTAGCCCATGAAAAGCCTGTGGATCGTAACAGTCTGATCCATACCAACCAGGAGAATAGTGCAGAACCAGAAAACATTTCCTTCCAATATCCATAGACGTGCTTCCCTTTAAGCTGTGGCTCACTGGACAGCAGTTAACAAAAACAGACATGAATTACCTCCTGCGCATGTACATAGCATGATAGGGTTTAAATTTTTATTAGCTTCTTAAACATAATTTAAAATATAAATTTGTATAATTTAGGGGTTTTTTTAATAATAGCTGTGCTTAACAACCAACTTGCAAACTATCTTGAATGTTTAATAATTGAGTTTCCAAAGTTCACTGCAATTGATCAATGATAAAATATTTAATTTCATACTTGAGACTTGGACTTTAAGGATGCAATGTGAATATTTATTATTGTTATTATTATTATTATTTATTTTTGTGTGTACTGTCAAATCAGACCTGACTGGTACAGGAAGAGATTGCCCCTTCATCCCCAGCAGAGCATCTGGTGGATCCGAACCACATACCTATTGGATTGCAGTGCAGCTTCTTGCCACCAGGCCACTAGAGCTCCCTGTGAATATTAACTTTAAAGTGTGTTTCTGCTCATAATATTATAACAATTCTTAACTAGTTTCTAAACAGAGTTTCACTGAATTTCCAGTGAAGTGAATTTCACAGTGTTACTCGTTGCTCCCATCGTTGTCCCCGGGGAAATGTCTCCATATCAAGGATGAACAGCTCTTTATACATTTTTCTTATAATTTTTAGGGATTTGTTTAATGCAAACTGCTCCTCAGAGCTGGAAGATTTTATGTTTCTGTCACATTTGTGGGAGGCAGAAGGGTAGAACCCTTGAGCGGATGTTCCTTTTGTTCTTTCCGTCAGCTGAACACATCAACCAAACAATAATAGTTTGAAGATAAAGTTGGGACTGTATTTCGAATAAAACTGAACAATATTCACTGTAAAAATGTTGTTGTTATTAAGTCTTGTCAAGTACAATTCATCAGGACAGTATAAACAAGCGCTAGATTTAAACCGTATCCTCTTCCATGCCATCCTTATTATCTCTGACATACTTGAGTCCATTGCTGCAGTAATTGTGTCAATACACGTCACTAAAGTCCTTACTCTTTGTAACTGACCCTCTACCTTTCCAAGCATGATTTCCCTCTCCAAGGAGAAGCCTCTCATTGCAATATGATCAAAGTGCGTAAGATGAAAGTTTTGTCATCTGTCTCCAAAGAGCTCTCTGGCTGCGCTTTCTTTAAGACATATCTATTTATTATTTTGGCTGTCCATGGAATATTCAGCACTCCTCTGTAACACAACAGCTCAAAGGCATCAATTCTTCTGTCATCTTTATTCATTGGATAGTTTTCAGATGCATAGCAAGAGATTGGAAAGACCCATACCTTGAATCAGATACACCTTAGTCTTCAAATTGACATTGTTTCTTAGTAATTTTGAGAGGTCTCTGACAGTAGAGTTGATCAATGCAATAAGTATCCTGAACCCTGATTGCTGGTACCAAGGGGGTTGATTGTGGACCAAGTAAGATTAAATCATTGACAATTTCAATGATTTCTCCATCTATCATAACCCAGTGGTGAGGATTTTTATGTTTTCTTGATGTTAAGATACAATCAGTATTAAAGGCTGTAGTCTTTGATTTTCTGTAGTAAATGTTCCAAAATCTCACTTTCGGCAAGCAAGGTTGTGTTATCTGCATAATATGTATTATTTACGAGTCTTCCTTCAATCCTGTTGCTGCATTTTTCTTCATAGAGTCCAGCTTCTTGAATGATTCACTCAGTGTACAGATTGAATGGAGAAAGTATCACCATGTACAGATTTGTGTTTAGGGAGAAAAATAGACAATGAAAAAGTAAGACCAAAGAAGAATTGGTTCCTTTGAATTGTGGTGTCTGGGGGGGGAAACTGAGTATACCAAGGACTAAAAAAAAAAAAAAAAAACACCAAACAAACCAAAACAAACAAAAAACCTCCAAACAAATCTGTCTTAGAGGAAGTGCAGCTAGGTTGGCCATGTTATCAAGACAGACCAGTCCCCACAGAAGTGTGTTGTGTTTGAAAAAGTGGAGGATCAACAAAGGAGAAGAACACTCTAAATAAGACAGCTTGGTACAGTGACCAAACAATGGGCTTACACACACCAGGGATGTGAGGATGGTAAGGAACTGGGCAGAGTTTTGTTCTGCTGTACAAAATGGTTTAGCCCCTTTGAGGCAAAGCCCACTTTGTAGAATCTTACACCAACAATGTTTATGGGAGAAAACAGAAAATGAATTCTGAAGAGAAGAATACTGAGAAGATGTGAGCAACCTTTCTCCTCCACCTCCATCCCCCTAGTTAGGTACCTATGTAAATAGGGGAGTGTCTTACGTTAGTTAAATATTATGGTCCAGAGAATTTTCAAAATCAATTTTCTTTTATGACATTAACCAACCAAACAAAATAAAACCAATTATCATTGAGTACACTCTGAGTCATGACCTCTGGTAACATTCAACCAAACCAAAATAAAACAAACAGAAAGACCCACTGCCTTCCAGTCATTTCTGACTCATAGCAACTCTGTAGGACACAATAAAACTGCTGAACGGGGTTAGTTTCTAAGTCTGGGATCTGTACTGAATGAAGCACACTGTCTCATCTTTCTCCAGACCAGGGTTTGGTGGCTCCAAACTGCCCAAACTGTTAGCAGGAAAACATTTTAACCACTATGCCACCAAGGCACCTTATATCAGAAATAAAGACAATTGTATAAAATGCCTGAAACGTTTGAAGTCTCTTCTATGAATCTGAGAGATCATGAGATCATTCAGGAGAGTATTCTCTGTTGGGTTTTTGGTTTTGTTTTTTTGTTGTTGTTGGGTTTGTTTTGTTTTTTTTTTTTGAGAGAGACAGTGTGTGTGTGTGTGTGTGTGTGTGTGTGTGTGTACCACAGAATCAGATCCAACTGGTACAGGAGGAAATTGCCCCTCCTTCTCCAGCAGAGCATCTGGTGGATTCGAACCGAGTGTCTTCAGGATGGCAGCGCAGCTTCTTGCCACTAGGCCACTAGAGCTCCCTTTCCCTGTTGTTCTTGTTGTCAAGTACCATCAAGTCAAAACCTAATCATAGCAGACGCTCCAGCGGATCTTCAGAGGCATTAAATCACAAAGGAGGTATCCTTAAAATTATCGATAGACTTTCCTTGCTTTACTAGTTTTTACCACATTGGTAAAAAGCCTGTGGTTTTTCTTTTTGTCTTGTAGAAACGAAACCATACAGCTATGCAAAGTTGTAGGTACAGCATGTTCATGGCAGGGAAAAAAAATAAAATAGAGAAAATGTGAAGGGGTAAAAAAGTTTAACAATAAGTTCAACAATGAGATATGAAGTAAGTATTCCAAACGTACTGCCATCAAATCTGTGTTAGTTTTTGGGGACCCTCCATTGGGGCTACAAGGCTACAAGTCATTATGGGAGCAGACTGCTCATTTTTCTCTCAAGCAGAGGCTAGAAGGATCAAGTCACCAGCCTTTCCAGGAGAGGATGAAATAGATGAATGGGACCTTCTAAGACTCAAGTCCTTATGCACATCCAAAAACTTCTCCAACAGGGTAAAAAGGGAAGCCATAGACTGGGAAAAAATATTTGGTAACGACATGTCTGATAAGGGACTTATATCTAGAATTTATAGAATATTTCAGCACATCAACAAGATAAAGGTAAACACCCAATTGAAAAATGGGCACAGGATAAGAACAGACACTTCACCAAAGAAGATATTTAGATGGTGAACAAACACATAAAGAAATGTTCAAATCATAACAACTATGAGATATCATCTCACTCCAAAAATAATAGCAAAGTTCAACAAAGCAGCAGACAAAAAATGCTCATGAGGTTATGGAGAAATTAGAACCCTTACTCACTGTAGATGGGAGTGTAAAATGATGCAACCACTATGGAAGGTAGTATGGCGCTTTCTCAAAAAGTTGCAAATACCCTCTTTCACCAAGGACCCGCCAACATTGAGAAATACTATACGCGCCTGGGTAATGACTTCCACATGAACAAGCGCGCGTGCGAGGAGATCGCCATTATTCCCAGCAAGAAGCTCCGGAACAAGATAGCAGGCTATGTCACACATCTGATGAAGTGGATTCAGAGAGGGCCTGTGAGAGGCATCTCCATTAAGCTGAAGGAGGAGGAGAGAGAAACGAGAGAAAATTATGTACCAGAGGTTGCAGCCCTGGATCAGGAGATCATTGAAGTAGATCCTGATACTAAGGAAATGCTGAAACTCTTGGACTTTGGCAGTCTGTCGTCCAACCTCCAAGTCACTCAGCCCACAGTTGGGATGAATTTCAAAACACCACGTGGAGCCGTTTGAGTCTGTTTGCTGTGCTGTAATATTTTCAATAAATTTGGGCACACCAAAAAAAAAAAAAGTTGCAAATAGAAATACCATTTGACCTAACAAATCCATTACTGGGAATATACCCTAAAGAAACCTGAACTGCCACCCCAAGCAGATATATGCACACACATGATTATTACTGCTTTGCTCACAATAGCTAAGAGTTGGAAGCAACCCAAATGCCCGTCAACAAATGAATGGGTAGAGAAGCTGTGGTATATTCACACAATGGAATACTGTATTGCATTGAAAAATAAGGAACTCATGCAATATTATTCAAAATGGGTGATCCTGGAGGACATTATGCTGAGTGAAATATCTCAGTCACAAAAGGTCTATATAGTGCCACTGTTGTCAAATGGGACTGACATCAGATTTGGAGGGAACCTAAGAAAAGAGGGGATAAATAATGTACACTGCATTCAAACATATGAGGAAGAGAACTGTTTAAAAAGAATATATGATTAGGTATTATTTTTATGACTAGAGTCCAGAATAAGAGCTGCATAGTAGAGTGGACTGGGGGTGGGAGGACTGTGTAGCATGAAAGATTTTTTTTTTATTTTCAAAATTAAAAGCGAACTGAGGAGAGGGGGAAGTGGTGGACAGGGAGGAAAATATGCAACAATGTACAAATGGAAATCCAAAGTCTCTGTAAATGTTCATTAAAATTTCAGTAATAAGGTGTTCTCCACAGTCCGTCGGGTGAAGTGGAAATTTCTCTCCAGCCCGAGACTTGGTGCTGAGCCAGATCATGCATGTCATTAAAGAAAACGTGCGCTTTTCTTTTTTGGAGAAACAAGGTGTAAACAGAAAAAAAAAATGTCAATAATAAAAAACAACAACATTATTTTCATAATTTAGGAAACACAGAATTATACACAGAGAATAAAAACATTCTAATTATTAGGGTGAATGAATAAATCCATTACTTATTGTAGATTATTCTAGCTAGAAAATTTCAAAGAACTAATTGAAAATTGTTCAATATGGCTCTTTAGAAGTATATGCATCATCCTAAATACAGTCTACCAATATTTCAAGTATTATCAGCTAAAAATGACAATGGACCAGAAACTTAAATCCTTCAGTGTGGTGGTGTTAGTTGCTGTCAAGTTGCAATTGACAGTCACCCAGTGAACATCAGGATGAAACTCTGTTCCATTCTGTGCCATTCTCACAATCTCTACTGTGTTTTTAAGCCCATTGTCACAGTCACTATGTCAACCCATCTCCTTAAGAATCTTTCTATTCTCTGCTGATCCTCCATTTTTCTAAGCATAAGATTACACCATATCTAATCGAAGATTAGTGACTTGATTGCACCTAGCAAAAATAATCTATTTTAAAGTAAATAAAACAGAACTCATATAAAGAAAATAATACAATTTTAACAATTAAACAAAATAAAATATTTAATATAAGCAAGGGACAGATAACCCTCAATTCAAACAATGTAATCAAATGAATAATTTTTAAGATCTAATTCATATTGAGAAATGGATCATAGTGATGCTTGAACAACATGACAAATTTAATTAATGTCTCTGAATTTTCCACATAAAAATTAAATGAGTAAATATTTTTTTTAAGTAAGAAAGATACACATAGCAAACTTTATGAAGTGTAAAAGAAAGAAGCATGCCCAAAAGAGGAGCATGGGTGCATCCTTGATAGAGACCTGAATTGTCAAATATTTTGTTTTGTTTTTTTTTTTACCACAAAACTAGTTTCAGAATTATTTTTATGTGAATTAAAACATTAGACTCTTTTTAACTTTTAATTGTGTTGGTATCTCAAACCTTGAGATGACTGCTGTTGTTAAGTCCCCTCTAGTAAGTTCCAACTCATCACAATTCTGTGTATAACAGCCTGAAACACTACCGGATCCTACATCATCCCAGGTTGCTGCCTCTTGAGTCTATTGCTATAGTACAGTCTCAATTAAATCACTACAGACACAGTCAAAATCTTAACAGTAACATGAAGAGAAGCCAGAATGATCCAAACTAGTCATTGCTGAACAAATAAATGCTTACAACTACTAAATTTGGAGTAATTTCTTACACAGCAAGACATAAAGCTAAGACAGAGTTCAACGAGATTGGTTTTTGCAGATGGTAGAAAAACTAACTGTATTTAAATTCTGCCACCAAAAAGACCAGCTGTCTTCAAAGAATCACTGGATGATGCCAAAGGTTAAAAAGCTAGGCTGATAATGCAAAGATTTGAAGTTCAAATCCTCTTAGAGGTGTCTTAAATGAAAGGTATAGTAATCTACTTTGAAATATCAGCTATTGGAAATACTATGGGGCTATAATTTCACTCTGGTACATGGTACGTTGTACACATGGGGTCACCAGGAGCCAGAATTTACTCAACAACAACAAATGTGGTCTTTAATTTGGTTTCCAGGAAAGCACCACTACTATGCAGTAAGCCAACATCACTGGAATGATCCTTCTGCAAACCAAAACAAGATGGAAGCATCTGGAAAGCAGACGGGATAAAGGAAGCCTTTTATTTCTGTGCTGTCTTTGCAGTCCTCCTGTAATCCACCCAACAGGAAAAGCCTAACAGAGAACCCAGGTGATATTTTGTAATGCATTAGGCTGCTAATTCAAAGGTCTGTGGTTCAAACTCACTAGTCACTCTGTGAGAGAAATATGGGCAGTCTCTTCCTGTTAAGAAACCAAACAGGGCCTCACTACCAATTGGAAACAACTTGATGCTTTTGGGGGTTTTATTTAACACAGAGGCAGCAGGCAAGGAGGAAAAATTGTTTACAAGATTCTGTGCTTCAGCTTCACAAAGTAAATTGTAGTAAGTGATTTGTTACTGTAAGACAATAATTTAATAACATATTTCACCCTTTTACTCCTCATCACTCACACACTGCCATTTTAGACATACTTGAGTTTTCATGTACTTGCAAGAGTTCTGTTTCCACTCAAAAAGATGTAACTATCTTTCAAATCATGAACACATTTTTACACATCAATAAGTGATTAATTTTATAAAACACAATGTATAGGAATGATCATATTAAACATAATGTCCACAGAAATGTGTGAAACACAATGTATATAAATGAAATACAATGTATATAAATTTTGTATGCAAACCAACATAAAACAAAAAGAATTTTTTAAAATGTCTTCATTTCTCTTCAGAGTCTCTTCTGACATCCATTTTGGTCTTTTCTTCCTCTTCTGTCTTTGTAATGACCATTTGCACTCTTCCTGGATGATACCTTTGACATCCTCCCACAACTCATCTGGTCTTCGCTCATTAATGTTCAGGGCCTCAAAC